CGTTTGACAAGCAAACTTTTTGCAAAAGTCTCATGGCAGCAGAATGTGCGAAAGAAAGAAAGTTTGTGCGCCAAATATTTTCTGTTCATAGTATTATTTTTTTCTTTTTTTATGAAATATCGAGATAGAGTGAAAGGAGATTAATGTATAATTATGCAAAATTTTAAATTCAGATTGTCATACATTATGGCCGGATTATTACTTAAATATTTTTGCTTGCAGAGATAATAATTTAGATAATAATTGTAAATATATGTGAAATATAACGATCTCGATTAAATTCATTGAATTCCTTGCAAAATTGCCAAGATTGTTGAGTAAAAAATAAGGAATTTTATTGTAAGGACCTAATACATATGTTCAAATACACCCAACGATCTAATACATACATTAAAACAACAAATCTCCGTCCAACCGGATAACATCCGCTTGCACGATCTGGTGTGTTCCAATCAGCCGCGTGTATTCGGGAGCAACATTATCAATCTAAACGTGAAACGCGCGTAAATAAAGTCCGATTGTAACCGAAAACGTCAATGGGACAACCGGCTGCGGAAATACAGCGTGTTACAAAATTGCGTTTTACAAACTCGAGTCCCTCCTGTGTCGATAGATCTCTCTTTCTCTCTTTATCTCTCGGGTGAGACGGAAACGGGGAAACAACGACGAAGAGGCGCGCCGGTAGTGGCATTATTGCGCAATTAACGAGGGGTAAAACGCGCTATACAAGCGTTGAGGGGAGGGAGTGGACTCGTGAAAACCGGCCAATAATTATTACACGACTTTGCGAAGCGGTTATTGTCCCAATTTGACGGACAGGGGAACGGGCAGCAGCACGAGAGAGAAGAGGCGGTGGATGAGAGGAATAGGGGACCAGTCGCTTTGCGGATAATAGCTGCGCTCGAGAGGTCATGTGAGCCTGACGTTCCAGCATGTCAACAGCAACTATGCATCATCGGATGTCTGCCGCACGTAAACGCTTGTCTCCTCTCTCTCTCTCTCTCTCTCTATCCCTCTTTTTCTCTCGTTTGACTCTCCCGTTCCCTTTCTCTTTTTCCTTCATGTATATATCCACGGGCTCCCTCTCTCCCTCTCTCTCTCTCCCTTCGCTGTCCACCCCCTCTATGGACCGTTTCTGCTCTAGCTCGGTGGCCCTTCCGGTACCAGCCGATGTTCCCCCTCTATCGTCATCGTGACTCGTGGTCAGATATACGGGCTCGTTCATTATAATAAGCAGTGATGGTCAAATGAACCCTCGTTAACCGTGAAATATCGATTCCTCCCTCTTCTTCCGCTCTCTTTCCCCATGCAAGAATCGAGACCCGATCAACTACGATCGGCGATGTTCATTATTATGCTGATTTGAAAAAGACTCAATTTTCTGCGCACTCACTTTATCAATGGAACCGCTCGTAATACTCGGGATCATTTAACGCTTTCGTCTTCTTTTCGTCGCGACAATTTTACGTCGGCGTCACTGCGAACGCGTAAATCCCGGGGCGCAGTCTATGCATCACGCGGAAATAGACACCCCCGGGTCGGGTGGCGAGCCGTAGATTGCCCCGCCATCCCATCCCCGGGTTGCACTTGACACTACATTGTCGTCGTAATAACAATTCATTTTCGGCAGCGGCATGATTTCCCCGGGAACGTGACCGCACTGCCATACGCTGCTCAAGGGCGAGTAGTAATGGCCGCATAGAACGGACAGAACGGGTAGGGTACTAACGTACGGTTACTCGTATGCCGCGCTGTGAAATTACTTTAAATTATAGAGAATGGCTGAGAGAAAGAGAAAAGAGAGAGAGAGAGAGAGAGAGAGAGAGAGGGAGAAATAAGAAAAAAACTTTCCCTCTTATACCAGTTCTCCCATTTTAGTCCTTTTTTCGCGAGATTCTCTCTCTATTTCGCTGTATACTCGTCATACTCGTTTTTTCATTCCTTCTTGAAGTTTCTCACTCCTGCATTTGCTTCTTCTTCTCTTTTTATCACTCTCATACTCTTTGACCTCGCTATCTTTTTCTTTTCTTTTCTATTTCCGAGTTGTTTCTGGTTTTTCCACTTTACTTTTTATCCACTCTTATTTTTATTCTCTTCTTTCACCCTTGTTTACTGTCTCTCTTTGTATTTTCATATTCATTTTGTTTCCTTTTATTACAGTTCCTTTTGCTTTAATTCTTTTGCTTATCACTACTAAAGTATAGTATTTATCGCGTTGTTCAATTTTGTTAAAAAATATTAAAAAGCGCAATTTCTTTTTGTTAGTAATTATATTTTCATATTTATGACGATTTAATATAAAAATTATCTGTTGTTAATTTATTAGTTTAGCGATGTATTACAAACATACATATTTTTGATAAGAGTTGTATCCCTGTCTCATTTATTATATAATTTCATATATATTTACATATAATTTGAGAGTTAATCTTCATAATTTTCTCTTTGCTTTATTTACCACGTCACTCTAATTTTCGTAACACGCTTTAGTTCTTTGGGAAACTACTCGTTGAACATACTACGTTGAACTGAATAAATTTCTCCTTTTCTCTTTCATCTTCTCCATCTGTTTCTCTAGTTTCGAGTCTCTCGTGCACTTACCTTTCTATATATAGTTGTACCCCCGCGCGAAGTGCAACCTCCAAGCCGGCTGCATATCTCTACGCCAGGAATTGGAGTGGATGGCGAACGTGGGTACAATAGTTCGCATTGTATTGGATTCAGCCGAGTGATAGGCCCCCCTCCTGGTCTCCTCTTCCTCTCCCTCTCTCTCTCTCTCTCTCTCTCTCTCTCTCTCTGCTTCACGCCTCACTTTCCTCAACCCCTTCGTATTACCCACTCTCCTATCGTATCTCATTTTCTGAAGGCCCGGCACGAGCGCGTATTGTGCCGCGCGTTATGCCCAAATCTCGCTATCTATCGTTGTTGCGGCCAACTGCGTCGTTTTGTGCCCTTTCAACTGCGCTTTGGTTTAAGCAGCGTGTACCCCGGATTCGACCGATGCGCGAATGCATTCCTCGAGGGAGAACGACTCCTACCATGCTTGTCGAGCCATACTTTGTATAACGAACCTTGACAATCAATTGATGTTATCGATGTCATGGGATAATTTTCCTTCGTCGTAAATTGCTAAATTATAATTTTCCACGGAATGAGGAAAAAAGAAAAAATATTAAGTTAATATGGATCTTATTAATTAACCGTTCAAATCTATGAGCAAAAAATTTTTTATTATTGGTATCATTATAGGTTCAAGGAAAAATATTTTTTATTTTGAAAAAAGCTTTGCTTTTGAAATTACATTTTTATTATGTTAATAATAATCTTCGGCAATGGTTTGCGAAGCCACCATCGTCATATTCTCAAGACGCTAAAAGTATGAGATGGCTGAATACCGATGAAGCTTCTGTGAGGGAAATATAATCGTTTGGGCTGATTAACGTCGCGAATAACATGTCAAGCATGTGCAACGTGAATCCGGGCTATTGTGAATATCTGAATATTCGCGAGGCATATGCGCGAATTCCTATATCTGATTGCGCGCGAATAGACTCGGATCTCATTTCCTGAGTACATTCAAGTATTTCATATATGTGCACGCGCGTAATCGAGAATTTTGTCCTCGTACCTTGTACGCATTGCGGTGTAATATTTTGTTTATATTACGATAAATATCTCATAATGCAGTACGTTTTTTTCTTTTCCTCTAAAATAGACAATTTTGCTGTGGCGGTAACGAGAAAGTATAATCATTCTTAAAAGTAAAATTTAGAATTAGCCGTTTGTAAATTTGCATCGAGTTTGAGAAGTATCTCCAGGCAAAATTAATCGAGAACTTTACTTATTTTTCAAAAATTGCAAATGTTTGTAGCAAAAATTTGGTTAAACGAAGCGGTAATCCTCAGCGTTAAGAGTAATGACGCGAGCGGCACTTTTGAAAATTCATTCCATCGGTAATTTATCGTTGCCCTCGATCCTTGGTAAACCCTTCCTCGTCTAAATACGCGGATTTCAGTAATTGAACCCCCACGTATGTCATGATGATTCCAATAACGGCACGCGCACAGGTAATTTGCTGTATTAGTATCGTACACCGTGCACAGGTTGGTGCATCATATAATTAGGCACATGATCGGGCGCGGCAAACACGCGATTATGGATTATTCGTTTGGGTTGCAATGATACGCAAATATACAAGTATTTCAAATTACAGAGTGTAGGAAAATGGGCATAAAAATGTACATTACTGTATACATACTTGCTACTTGATTGAAGAGATAGTCAACAACGTAAAGAAAATTGCAATTTATTTGGGGCTGTATGTTGATATAATTAATGTTTCTAATTATATATATTTTCATTATATATATTTTATTTTAATTATTTAACGATAAAAAACACACCCGCAAACACGATATAAAATTCTAGAAGAATGTCACAGAGAATTGTCTCTAAATCTAAATCTATCGACCGGATGTCGGAATATAGCGATTGCTACTGACTCGACGACAAAACGGCGAACGAAATTTCGCGAAGAGAGAGTCCCTGAAAAATGGAATTACTGCAAAACCCAGGGTTCTCGTCGGAGAGAGGATAGGGAATTAAACGGCCTTCGTACGCGGCTCAAATAATTGATGCACGTCAATTAGATTTGTCAGGCCAATCGTCGTAATTAAATGAACAGGAACGCAAGGCATGAACACGTACACATAACTATCGGCGTCTACACACTCGCGTGTATATACGTGTATATATATCTTCGCGCATGACGATCCTGTATCTGGACCATATTCGAGAGAGTGCGCGGCGTGAAATTTAAATTTCTCCAATACCGGATACCGATAATCCCGTTGATTCGTCGAAACCGTCGGCAATTTATATTGCACTTTTCCGCTAACAGTTAACTATTCCGTTAAGTGACGCAGCCATTACGATCAATTATCGCTCACAGATGCTTTTAGAATAGAACGACGAACAAGCAACGGATATTTTTTTTTTCCTAATCAATATACTCCTGTTAAAAAAATTCTGTGAAGAATTAGAATCTTATAAATACATCGCATCGGGTTAAAACTCGCAACGTGCGATATGTCAACTCTCAGCTGAATCTATTTGAAATCAAAGTATCTTTGTATTGTACTATATCAAACGCGACAAAGTCTTTGCTATAAAATAGAGCCTTCGATATAGAGAGAAAATAATGGAAGATTGATGCTTCTGGTAATTTAATGCCACGTGAAAGGTTTCAAGACTTGAGTCGACCATCGTGAGCCATTACAGTTCCTGTCGTTCACAACAGAGAGTTTAACTCTGTTATAGATATTTTCTGACTTATTACAAAAATTCAATGAGAAACACATGAAGATCGATAAGAAGCTCGACTGTATCGTCGTAAAGGAGGAAAGAAAGTTGGATATTGATGAAGTACGAGAGCGCGCGTTGTTCGTCGCTTGCTTGACGTATGTAACGCAACAGGTTTCTTCGCTTATTTTCGTAGCACCGCAGTATTGGCGTAAAAGTGATATCGCGTAATAACTCGCAAGCACTCTCTCACTGTGCTATTTCAATATATTTGAGAGAGAAACTGGGTCACCGAGCGTTCGTGTTTATTTGTATGGTCGCACATTAGTTGGTCAACAGTCCATTTACAAATTACTCGATGTGACAACACGCTATATAGAATAAATTTGTGTTTCAGAGAAACATCTACATACTTAATTATTTCTATTTGCAACGGTACATTTATTTGTTTAAAACTAACATAGAATAACTTTCATAAAATACACATAACTTACGTAAAATGACTTTCCTCAAATGGATTTTAACGATATTAAAAATATAAATTGTATATTTTTTTATACGATTGCATGCTAGTTTGTATCAAAGGAGATTCATATTTTATTTTTATTTGCCAATTACATTTATTGATAAATTTGCAATTTATAATATTATAGTTTAGCGATCATTGCTCGAAGTTCGCGGCGTAGGATCTTGCCGGAAGGATTCTTGGGTATGGCATCGACAAATTGCACCCCGCCATGCAACCATTTTTGCGGCGACAGTTTCTCTAAAAGATAAATTGAATTGCTCGGTTAATGCATAGATAGGTCGTCGCTCGGGTTGCGTTTGCTATTAAAATACAATGTCAAGACAGAATACGTCCACATTCTCGTGCGGTGCTGTATACTTAAATTACGTAGACTACACGGGGATAACTAACAATTTTGTTAATGATGCAACGCGGCGTTTAATGTCGTTGCGTTGCGATGTCGCCAACAACTAATAATGCCGTTAATAATGCAACGCAACGTTTTATGTTACTACTATATCATGAGCTAATTGCTGCCACCGTATTTCACTTACACATTCAAATTTAAACGCGCGTGCTTCCAACTCTTAACCATCCTATTGTTGTTTAAACTTATTTATAATTAATTAAAAATTTAAAGATCTCTGGTAATTTAAATCTTTTCTTTTCACAAATCTTTCTATTTCTTAAGCAGTTTTAAGTTTATAATACATTTAACGAATTTTGATTTTTCTCTGATAAGACACTACAGAGAAAATACTCGACTCTTAATGAATCTGTAAGAAATGTCGAAGATCTAATTGAGAGATAACTCACGTTTGACAAAATCCTGGATATCCTGGGCGGTAATCGTAGCGCCGGGTTGCCTTACTACGAAAGCCATAGTAATCTCACCACTGCGTTTATCGGGTCTTCCTGTGACCGCGGCGTCCTTCACCGCGGGATGCGACAGTAGGACCGTCTCTATCTCTGACGGCGAGACCTGATAGCCTTTGTACTTGATCAGCTCTTTGATACGATCGACCACGCGTAGTCTGCCCTTCTCGTCGAAGTAGCCGACGTCACCGGTGTGCAGCCATCCGTCATGGTCGATGGTCTGCCTGGTGGCCTCTGGATTGTTCCAGTAACCCATCATCAATTGCTCTCCCTTGTAGCAGATCTCTCCTACCTGACCAGCGTCTAGCGTCTCTTGTGTCTCGATATCGACCACTTTGCTGAGGTAACCGGGCAAGCATACTCCGGTTGTCAGATTTTCGAACGAATCATCCTCATCTTCGCGTGCGCTCACATTGCTTACTACCGACATCTCCGTCATGCCATAGCCATTGCGAATGTATTTTATGCCGAGGCGAGCCTTCACAGCGGCTACGATCTGTGGAAAAAAGGAAGAAAAAAATTACTTTGAAACGTTAGACTCATTGCTGTTTTTAAAAAGTCGGTTGTATCAAGATTTATTCAAGTTCAATTAATAAATCGGATTTAACGTTAATGACTCGTAAAATAATAATTTGAGAAGACTACTAAAGTGTGTTACGCATTAAAGTTTACTAAAAGTTACTTACTTACTAAAGTTTAGCAATATCTTAGCAAATCTGTTCTTAATTTTTTTTGTTATAAAAAAAATTATCATTGATTAATAGAAATAGTATTCAGGATAATTCTTTGAAGGCTGTATTTTTTTCTTTCTTTGTCGTTGTTTATTTAATTTTAACGCGATCATGTCTCACCTACGAGAGAAATAAAGGTAACGATATCCGATTAAAGGACAGTGCTCCGACATTTCGGGAGTATGCTCGATTTTCAAAACTTTTAAATGTTTTTATTTCCTCTCGCCGATAAGAGATCAGTTTCGCATTTTCCGAAAGATGCGATTGTGAGCTCGCGAATGTGACCTTTTATTTTCTCCTCCTTCTCTTAGCGACTCCGCGAATCGGCTAAACAAAAACGAACGCGATAAAGTTACCCCCGGCCTGTGTCTAGTGAAAACGCGACGACTCCCCGAGACTTTCTCTCGCGGTCCTCCGTTCGACCCTCTTTCACCGCCGCCGCGGCATCGAGGACTCACTTCGGCACTTAGCTCCCCGATGGCTTTTCTTACCGCGATAACTTGGCCGGGGGAATCGGCAGGCAGGGAGACGACAAACTTCATGACGACAGAAGAAAACTTACGTCCTTCGCAAGCGGCGCCGCTCCGCACATGAGTTCTCTCACGCTGCGAAAGTCGTACTTATCCACCATCGGGTGCTTCGCCAGGAATGTCAGGATCGGCGGCACCAGCGGCAGATGGGTGACTTTGTGCTCCTGCATCAGGTCTAGGAAGAGTTTCGGCTCGAAGGTGGACATCACGACTGTGATGCAGCCTGTGTATATCGTGAGCAGCATTGTGCATATCGCGTAACCGTGAAAGAACGGTAGTATCATCAAAAATCTGTCGCGTCGTCTTATATCCAGGTATTCAGGATGCCTGTGTTTTCAAGATCAAACTCATAACATTTGGATCACGAAATAAAACTCTTTTAATAGTATTTTTAAATAAAAATATAATATTTTCTTTTTTTCGGAGTGTAATTTGCAAATAAATCTCCTAAAATTATGCTATATTGGATTTAAGATATATGTACATCGAAAATATATCAGAGTAAAGAGAGATAACGTTATAATCTTTTTAAATAATTATTATTATATCATATGAAATACGATTGAAATAATCACATATTGCATGTAATGCTTCAAATATGATGCAATTATAATTTTATGAAAAAATATAGAATTTAGTTCTACATTATAGGCTCTAAATCTCATTAAATTATATATATATAATTTAATTCGCAAAAATATTTTTACTAATGGATATTTATGTAACTTACTTTAGTTTTGACAGAAACGCTAATATATTTTTATGAGACAAAGTCACTCCTTTCGGCAATCCAGTAGTTCCGCTCGAACAAAGAATAAACGACGGATGCTGGCTGCTGTCACCGATATCTATTGGTTTATATCCTAAAAAATCTACGGCTTGTTCATTACTTAAAATATCCGTCAATGTACGGATATTTGTTGTGAACGGCTGATCATCCAACTCTATTAAATCTATCTTCCAGGATAAATTCGGAACAATTTTAGCAACGAGACGTTCGCTGCGCCGAGACACCAAAATAATACGTGGTTTCGCGATGTTTAATATGTGCTGGAATTCATCTAAAGATTATACGTTAAGTATTTAGATGCAGATAATTAGAGATCCAATAAATATTAAATATAATAATGTTACAGCTCACTTACGTTCCGTGTACAAAGGATTGTATGGTGCTAATATAGCACCAATGTAAAAAGTCGCGCAAACCGGTATTAAATAATCTATTCGATTTTCAGATACGATGGAAATTCTGTCTCCAACTTTTATCCCGTATTTTTGTAAAAAATTCGCGAATTTCACGCTTTTCTCCAGCAGTTCTTTGCCCGTCATTCGATTACCGTTGTATCCGTCTATCTGCAAAAGAAAATAAGCATCTCTTCACAATTTTATTTTATAAAGCCGATATAATTACAATTTAGTAGAAGTTTAACACATTATATATTTTTTATCTCTTTTTCTTTATATATTAAACTGTCTTGTGTATGTTACATTGTGTGAATATTGAAAATTTAAATAAAATAAATACATGCAATCTAAATATACGTCTACATATTTTACGTCCAAATTAAAAAAAAATGTATTATTTAATGTATGCACATGATATGAGACGATTATACATTATTTATGATAACTACGAAATATATGATAGTCACAATTAGTTTTCTTCATATATAATTATATATGTATATTATTATTTAAGGTACCATATATTAATTTTTTTTTCTTCTAGCATTTGCAGCTTAAAACGAATTAAAGTAAAAATGCAAGGACAAATGGGAGACTAATCGTTATGAGCGATGCATAATGCGACAGCAAAAATTCAGAGATAGATTTCATGAATTTTACCTCCGGCGATTAACGCTAATAGAATTACGAAAAGATTTTACTGTTTGATTCATTTTATTATTTCATCACGAATTTGATAAGCTATCGATTCGCAATCGTAAACATGATTTTATGGCACTTACTAGCAAAACATCATCGCTGTTTTCGCGCAGTTTATCCAGTATGGCTTGTCCTAGAGATATGGTTGGCGATGGTTGTTTCAACCGACGCTCATATATTTTTCCCATCTTTGCAGTAATATGGAATTTGCCTTATACGGAGTGGTACTTTTATCTGAAAGAAAATATAAACATATTTTTTTATTAAATTATGTCATATATGATTTTTATATTTAAACTTCTTACTGGAAAAGAAGAATAGTTTCAAAATATTATGTAATTGGGAATGTGTATGAGAAATATTTCTATAAAGTTTGAATTTAATGTTTTAATTGCGTGAAATAATATATACTGAGGGAAAAAAATAGTTATAATTATCATAAATTATAGTTATTTTTGACGGTAATTATATTTAAAAGGTTATTATTATACTATATGTATAAGATTATCATTATCAACATTATAATAATAATAATTATAAAAATAGGAATTTCAACTATAATATTTTTTATTATGCAATTATAGTTGATCTTTCTTTTAAAAAAAATGTATTATTTAATGTATGCACATGATATGAGACGATTATACATTATTTATGATAACTACGAAATATATGATAGTCACAATTAGTTTTCTTCATATATAATTATATATGTATATTATTATTTAAGGTACCATATATTAATTTTTTTTTTCTTCTAGCATTTGCAGCTTAAAACGAATTAAAGTAAAAATGCAAGGACAAATGGGAGACTAATCGTTATGAGCGATGCATAATGCGACAGCAAAAATTCAGAGATAGATTTCATGAATTTTACCTCCGGCGATTAACGCTAATAGAATTACGAAAAGATTTTACTGTTTGATTCATTTTATTATTTCATCACGAATTTGATAAGCTATCGATTCGCAATCGTAAACATGATTTTATGGCACTTACTAGCAAAACATCATCGCTGTTTTCGCGCAGTTTATCCAGTATGGCTTGTCCTAGAGATATGGTTGGCGATGGTTGTTTCAACCGACGCTCATATATTTTTCCCATCTTTGCAGTAATATGGAATTTGCCTTATACGGAGTGGTACTTTTATCTGAAAGAAAATATAAACATATTTTTTTATTAAATTATGTCATATATGATTTTTATATTTAAACTTCTTACTGGAAAAGAAGAATAGTTTCAAAATATTATGTAATTGAGAATGTGTATGGGAAATATTTCTATAAAGTTTGAATTTAATGTTTTAATTGCGTGAAATAATATATACTGAGGGAAAAAAATAGTTATAATTATCATAAATTATAGTTATTTTTGACGGTAATTATATTTAAAAGGTTATTATTATACTATATGTATAAGATTATCATTATCAACATTATAATAATAATAATTATAAAAATAGGAATTTCAACTATAATATTTTTTATTATGCAATTATAGTTGATCTTTCTTTTCAGAGTATATGTGCACAAAAAGATTTATTTAGAAATTCTTGACAAACAAGGTAGAAATATATCATAATTGAACATTATATCAATAATATTTTGCGATATTGTTCAACAAGTAAAAATTTAAAAGAGAGAGAGAGAAAGAGAGAAGAGAGAGAGAAAGAAATCGATAGGCTTAATCGATTACAAATTTTAAACAATCATTCAATTAAAATATTTAAAATATAAAGAAAAAAATTATTGCGAGTTAATTGATAGAATTTGTTATTTTTTTAAATTAATCTGTTATTAAAATTAAGATCACATGTTGTGAAGTATTTTGTACGATCTTTTCTCTTAAAGTAAAATTATTTTACATTACATCAAGAATGGCTTTTGCATTTTTATCGCTTAGATTTATTGCTTTTCTAAATGTAAGACGCTTACAATTAGATTTATGCAAAGTGCGAATTTTTACGTTTTTATCGACAGTGCGCGCCAAAAATTTGATCAGTAATGCGGGAAGAGCGCCGCAAGGGTGCATAGTTGCGCGCGTTTCTCTACGTTTACGGTGGAGGATGCGCGTTTAATTTGGCGGCTCATATTTTCTTAAAAAATTTCACAGATTAGCGGCGGCAGGTATTTAACATTTACATTAAATCCATTCCTTATTATCTATTACATCGTTTAGACGTGAAGTCGCGTACCTTGCGCGCAGGATCGACAAGATTAGCACGGATTATTATCTCTTAAACGATTGCCACTCTCGCGCCGCCATAATAGTACTTATCTCGTATTTCTTTCCAGAGAATCCAGATGTATCGTAAGAAAACGGGGAATTCTCTATGCGAGAGGATGAGACGAAAGGACGAGGAGGGAGGTAATCGAGGAAGCGTCGTTATGTGAGTTTTAAAATATTTATAATAAATTGTAAATACAATCGCGCTAGCGCGAGTGAGATTATGTAACTACGACACTCTGCTTGGCGTTAAACGGACATAATATAGGGTGTAATATTTTGAATTTGCCAATATCACAAAATGGAAAGCGAACATGTAATACATCGTCATTTATAATACAAATGCAATATAAATTAAATTAAAAAATTATTGATAATAGAATATGCATTTGCCTTTGAAATGCACAGAAATAAGATATAATAATATTTAATAATTCAATTATTTTTCAATATTAAAATTTTTAAATTATTTCTTTTTTTAAAACTTTTTGTAAAACGCTACTGCTATTTATCTATTCTTCTTAAAATAAACTTGTAATTAATAATTATTTTTTTAATAATATTGCGCGCTCTCTCAAATTATAGATATATGTACATAATTAAAACATAATATAATTTTTGGCAATCAAAAAAAGGTTGATATGTATAAAGCTTTATATTAAAAGAAATATTGGACATAAATGTATAATTGGAAGAGATAAAGTTACGAAAAAGTTACGTGATATTGCTTTTACTAGAATATATGGCATATATTGATCTTCTTCGGCATTTAGTTGGATGTCCTTTTGAATACAAGATGTCCGAACGGAGGAATAGAATGGGAATGCATTCTCGTAAGGTTTAGATATGAACAAAGAAATGGAAATAAATGCCATAAGTTACATGCTATGACCATAATTGTGAGAAAAAAGGTGCAAAAAATTCATATTGGATTGCTTATCACCCAATATTAGTTTTATATTGTGTGTAACATTTTACACATGTATAATAAATATGTGGTTGAATAGGATTGAATGCCACTTTTTTACGATATAAACATGATTTATATAACTTATGTTAAAAATTTTTTACAAGTAAAATTCATAAATTGCGGCCTTGATATTACGCAATTAAAATAAGAATGAACTACGCTTATAATTTTTGTAGAATTTACTTTATATTTAAAAATTTAAATTTAAAATTGATTTTAATTAAAAAAATTAATCAAAATTAATAGAATATATTTACAACTTATATTCATTAATTCAAAATTGATTGAACAACAAAGATGAGGATTAATTTTCATTAAAATCGTTCAGAGAATAAAAAGTTTATAGTTGTTATTTTGTTTATAATTGGTATGATTTACTTCAAATATAAGATCATTCTAAATACTCAATCTCGTGTATTTTAAATCATATAAATTTTAAATTTGGTCTATCCTTGTAGATAGTATACGGGTTATAATAATATCTAAAAGTTAATTATCTCATATCTATTGCTTATCAATTCTGAATTAGTGAATAAAAATTCTAAATTTCTTTTATGATATTTTGAATTTTTCTTAATTAAAAAATTAATCTCTTAAATTTAAATTTTTTATTATAATATGAATACTTCTTAAAAATAAATGAAAGAAAGAGCAATACGATGGACGCAACGGCATGGTTAGATCGCAAGTGGACCGACTTCCAACGTTCCCCGCGACGTATGCATCGCATCCGCGGGAATGCATGCGACGGTGTGCATCCGGTATCCAGCTGCTCGTCTTCAGGTATTCGCGCGGGGAGCGCCGAGGGGACGGGAGCGATAACGGGGGGACCGCGTTCTCGGGAATCACTGAAGTGCTGGGGAATCGCTCTTCGGGGTTAGTCTCGTCGTCGACGACGCGGATGAGGTTCCGGGGGAGGGTTAGGGAAGCTTGGGACGCTACAAGGAGGAGGGATGGTCGAGGGCGCGTGCCACTCTGATTGTAGCGGCCATACTGGGACATTGGAGCCACATACCGATGATTCTTGGCCTCATGCGACATGCCTAGACACCCCGGGAATACTTATGATCTCGAGATTGAAGGGAGATGAATGCAGGGAAATCTTTTCTTTAAAAATCTCTGTTCAGATTGTTTTCCTTTTTCCTGCTATATGCATTGGAATATAACGCGCAAAAGAAAAATTTTACGATTAATTTTATTTCGAATAATTAATTTACTGATTTTTTAATTTTTTCTACGTCGCGCTGAAACCCTTTCCCCAGC